AAGCCTGTGCAGGCTCAGCCTTTAGAGGCTTTCAGCCGTTACAGGCTTTTTTTCACAGCCAATTAAAGGCTACATGTTTCAGCTTGTGCAAGCTTCTTGCTGCAATTGCATGCAATCGTGCAGACGGAGAGAGCAGAGAGAGAGAGAGAGATAATTAATAATTAAAGGTTTTTGGCTCAAAGAAGTTGGACGAGAGCACGATTTGGCATTTCCGAAGCCATGAATCCCGAGGTTGTTAAACAGCTTTTGGATGTGAAGAGCTCCGGTCTCGCAATCAATGCGAAAACGGCGCAAATCATGCATATCCTCAGAGAAGCTGGGATGACTTATGATCTCCAGATACCTCCCAGCCAGATGCTTGTGCATCCCGGCAACCGGTGTGGTCTACTGGTAAATTCCTTTGACAGCCACTTGAAGGGCTGGAAGGCCCTTCAAATTGGCTTCGACCCTACGAAGCTTCAGGGCTCGATATGTATGGAACTTTCGAAAGATCCTGGCATGAGGGCTCAGCAAATCCAGGCCAACGAAAGTTTGGTTCTTCAAGCCGAGGGTCGTCTTGCTGCAATCAACGGCCGCGAGCGGTTTTGCAGTTTGGACTGCAGCCACATGACTCAGTTCCTGAAAAGCTGCATTGCGGGATGCAACACAGATCATGCTGAGCTGCAGAAGATCAACTCGGGAGCCCTTTCGGTTGAGTCTTTGGTGATGCACTACAAAGACAAATTCTTCCAGGAGCTGTGCACGGAAGGATGGAAGTGGCGGGTGGTTTGTTGTGAAGCAGAAGTAGCTTGCCCATGGCTGCCCAGTATGCTCCAGGCCTCAGCCAACAGCACAAACCTCGTAAGCAAAAATGCGACAGAGATCGAGGTAGCTGCATCGCTAGCATACCATTTCGGGATGACCAAAAACATGCAGACAGCAATCGACACCACTAAAGCAGCCTTGCCGAACATTTCCTACATGAACAGTGTGGGACACTATGTACAGCACTTCGGCGGTGGAGATAAGGGTGGCTTTGAGCTCATCGCCTTTCTGCAGCAGCTGAGCAAAAGCTTCGGACACAGTCTTTTCCTTGGTGAAGAGTATATGGATGCCATAGCTTTCACACGTTTCAGCGATCCCAGCTCTACGTATCCGTTTCTCAGGGCTTCGTTCTGGGCTGCTGCTATGTCTTCCCCCAAATCAGCAGACAGCATTTCCAAGTTGGTGACAAAGTCCGACATTGAGAAATTGAAGAGCAGCGGCATGAAGACCCAAATCAAGACAGCTGAAACCTTGCTAAGCTTGAGCTGGAACCTTCTCAGTAAGACGGGGGGCCTTCACGAGAAGAAGGGTGTACGGGCAATGGGTCACATGATGATCAGGACGGCCTTGCTTCTGGTCAAGAAGGAAGCCAAGGGCAAGGAGGGTAAGACCTTTGGTACGTTGCAGAAAGTGCATGAAGCATTTACTGCAGAAGTGGGCGACGGGAATGCTGCAGGGGCAGCAGCCACGGCCGAGAGCAGCGAAAGCGGGGGTGAGTTGAGGATCATGTCACTGCAGGCCGGAATTCACAAACATGCATGGGCATCAGCCGTTAAAGGCTTCGTTTTCATGAGCCTTTAAAGGCTTCGTTTTGATCAGCCTTTCAAGGCTTCGTTTAGTTCTTGAGCAGAATAGATACCTATACCCGTGCTAAGTTTATCCCGACATTGATCTTCAGCTTGTGGTTTCCGTGTATGTTGTTTTGTGTGTCCAGGACACAGCAAGTGCAGCGATCATTGCTGCAACATCCAACTCGTGGCTGAAGGTTGGAGCTCGCTACGTGCAGAAAGACAATCCTGCGATCTATGAGTTCGTAGGAATGGATAATGTAGACGGAATCTTCAAATTGGCGGATGCATGGGGCACCGACTACACACTTCGCATCCCCCACAAGGATTTGCGAAACATGCGAGCCACGGATAAGAAGGTTCCAGCTTTGTACTCGGCGGAACACGTGGCACGTCGCCGTGTGGACTCCTTCATGACTTTGGAAGAGGAGGTTGCCAAGGCTACAGCTCTCACCATGTTGTTCAACTTCTATTCGGAGTTTCTTGGCATCATGAGTCGAGTGATCGAGTGTGCGAGCTTGCATGCTGAAGTTGCTTGTGTTATAGTCGTGTATGTGTAAGGCACCAGGTGGACGAATGCCTGGTCGATTTGCACTTCACTTCCGATGGCAAGGTGTATGCCGCTAACAACATAAAAAA